TCAATGGAAATTCCCACCTTCCTTAAGTACAAGGTTAGGTTCATAAGTTTAAAGACGTTTTGAAACAGGTCCAGCATGGTTTCAACAATTAAATAAAATACATTTACTGTACTCGGATAGCCCCATCCTTTGGCAACACTTCAGTGGTGTTCAACATACTCTAAAATCTCTGCCGATTTCGATGCATTTTTCTGTGCATCCAATTATCGAAACAGTGCCAAAAATCGAGTTGTCAGTTGATGAGGCAGCATGTGACCTTTCTCTGTTCCTGACAGTGAAAAACAAACTGAAAAGGGATTGGATTTGAGGATAGGAAAATCATCATTTCATCTATCACAAGATCAGCTTAATCAACTGACGGAACTCACTTTTTGGTATTTTTATGTATTTGTTGGGAATACCGATGAGTAAGACTGTAAATTTCCGAGCTCTCGTAAATTAACACGGACAGACTGTCTTCTGTAATTCTTGAAAACTGCAAATTAATTCATCCCTCTCCGAATTATCGTTATTTAATTGTTATAATTTTCGCAACGATTTTACCGGATAAAATGCGGCTAAAGTATATCCAAATTTCTGTCAATGAGGGTTGAGGGAAATGACAACTGACCTTTTTCGTAACAGTTTTCAACTGATGCATTCCCACTGCAATTCCCTCGAAAGCTTCAACGAGCCTTGACATTGCTTTTCCAGAATTCAGAACAGTGAAGATCCCGATGGCTGGAGCCAATACAGGCACGATCATCGAGGAGCCCAGGAATGCCAGTCGACATGCTCGACATTGGCTCTCGATGCTCGTCACGATTGTGAATAACTCTTTGAACGACAACACCGCCGAGTAAGCGAGACACAAGGTTGCCAAAAAAATCCCGACAATCGGCGCCCGTCTCCAAATGCTATTCCGTTTGTGTTCTACGCTGCCATTCGAATACCAAATGAAATTGATCGGAACTAATCCCAGACAAGAACTCGCTTCGAAGATCCACTTTAAACTCGACAACAACGTGGTATCCCCGAAATCTATCGCGTTCATCCGATTAGCTGTGAAGTCCAATAATATTTGAGCTTTCGAACTCATATTCTTAGAATATTCGGCATAAAACCGTCTGCGACGTACAAACCTTCAAAGGAGATCAAATAAGACAATCTTCTTTAGAAACAATTTCAATACATCACATTGAAATAAATAACATGCATCCGTACTGTGAAAAAACTTGCTCGATTTTTCCAGCTATTAAACGGCGCATGCAAGGAATTATTTTCATATATACGGTGCCGATGAATTCAAAATGAAATCAAAGCATTCCATCATATTCAGTTGAATTAATCCAAAGTGGATTGCGAACTAGGCAATAATCTCCGTTGGCATCTGTTGATAAGGGACTGTTGAGTGGATAGAAACTGACCATGATCAGGAGATAACTGCTGATACTCGCTGCAATCTGTAAAATGAGATCAAATAATGATTGAAAAATGAATCATTTCTCGGAAATATGACGTTGAATGTTACTCACGGTCAAAACGGTTTCACGAGACACCTCGAAAAGCCGGAAAACTGACATGACTGGCATGTTGATTTCCAATTTTTGCATGAATATGGTGACTGATGCCATCATCTATATATTCAATAAAGAAGAATGGTCGAGCACTGAATCATTGCAATAAACCGTATTCACTCGAATACCACGCAAACCTCGAGTGAAACGCGCACCCACATTTTAAAGTCCGAAGTTCCAATTAAATTGTATCGCACGAAAAAAACGAACCCGTTTTTAATAACGTGACTCATCTAAAACGCCAACATTTCAAAAATATTAGGAACCTACAAATTTGAATTTAGAGATTAACTGAACCTGAATTCAACAAATTTCCACATGTTTAAATAAAGTTATGCTTTTCTACCAAATTGATCCAGAACTTCCCATGACTGTAGTGTAGAATCAGGTGTATTGCACACCCAAACTTATGGAAAATTTTAGAAATGTATACCCGCATGTGATGCGCACTATAGCTCCCTTTTTTTCCTATCAATTTTGAAAAAAAGTCCATGCAATACATGAGTAAATCTTGCGCTAAAAAGGGCCAAGGAGAATCGTAGGATTCTGATCAGTTTCTCACCTCTGAATGGGCATCTACTGCTTTCTCGGATTTAGTGAGGTTCGTCTCCGATTTCATCAGCGACAGTATTTTCAAAGCATCTTCCACCTATTTCGAAGAAGAAAAAACACAGAGCTACGTTTGATTAATACCATACCTTTCTGAGTATTTTTTTTTTCGTGAGTTCTGTCTTTGATAAAAGTATTGACCTGCTCGGACGGCCAGGAGACCATGAAGCAAATGACGACCAACCGGCCCCAGAAAACGGCCAGAGATCCCAGCATACAAACGAGCTCGACGTAAATTTCATACAACAATATCTCTTTCCAAGATGCCATGACCAGGAAAAGCGTGACGACCATCGTCAGCCCACAACCGAAGCAAGTGACGAACACGGCCAAGGCGAAGCAGCGCGACGCGTCGAGTGCAGCCAAACACAAGCGCACGTATTTCGCCCGAAAAAACCTCAGTTTCCCAACTAGGTATTGGTCTCCTGATTTCAGCTGCTTTAATCTATCATTCAGGGCTTCCATTCCGCTGGAAACTGCGTAGAAAGTCGCTCCAAGTGGAATGTCGCCGAGGATCCAGAAACCGATCCCGACTGCGCAAGGGATGAATTTCTTCGCCGCCAAAAGAGACCGCAACCCGTGAGGAGACCAGGCATCGTCTCCCTTGTTGTAGAATAAGAAGGCGAGGAAACCCATGCACATTGTTGCCACGAGGCCAAGGCAAATGACTGTGGTCAAGATCCCAATCAGAATGGTTCTGTTGTACTTCCGGAATGCTTCCGGCTGCAGTCGGTGATGCTGCATTTCCAGCATGAATTCCTTCAGCTTTTTTTGACCAGCAGCACGCGTGTGATCGAAAGAACGGAGAGAGAGCATCAATAAATGAAGCAAGGATTTTACTTATCTGCAAAAACGGGCTTTTTCCGGATCATCCAAAAAACGAATTGAATGGACTCATCATTTGTGATGCAGTTGAACATTTTTCAGGCGAACTTCAAGGCACCAGCGAAAACAAAACAAAAAATTGAACTGCTGTTCCGAGGTTTCTGGTTTCAGGGAAACATGCCATTTTTTGAGGAAATCGAAATAGATACATGGGAAATTTTAATTGGAAATATTGTGGGTTTCAAATTGATTCTTGAATGAGTTGACAAGATGCTGAAGGTTTTATTTTGCCAAATTAGTCTTGAATTTTATTCCAAAACACATAAAGTACTGTACTATTCTTATTTGCTTTTCTTTTTTTCTATGTATATAAAATAATTTTCAAAATGCCAGAGAAGCTTTTTGCTGGTCTCACAGAAAATGTTCTTCATCATAATAAATTTACCAAAATTAGCGACTGTCTTTCATCTTTGGCTGACATTTTTTAGAGGAAATTGCAGTGTAAATTATCTGATGAAAAATAAAAGTTGGCTTTTCTCCTAATAATACAACTTCAGAAAAATGTTAACCTGGTGAAATTTATATCATACTAATTTTACATTCTGGCTCATTCCAGATGGATCATGAGAAACCTTTCTTCATGCCCACCTTTCTAGTGTTTGTAGGTATTGCACTATATAGCTGCCCTGCTTATTCTTAACTTATTTTTGCAAAAAAGCAAAAAATTCTCAAATACCTGCCATAACGTCTTTCAAACGATACTTTTTTGAATCATTAAAATTTTATGAAACATTGCTGGGTCCGCAGAATATTTTTGAAAATTTTCTGGTCTGCAAATAATTTTATAGACATTTATGGATCAGTGGGCATAAAAACACTGGTTGGTTTTTTGCAGTGATTTTATTTGGAAAGATTGGTTGCACCTCAAACATACTGAGTTTAATAGTTTAAAAAAATCGTGTGACCGAGTTGGATAATCGTCGTGAGATGAGAAACTGTAGCTTTTCGTGTTTTGGAACCCCCCCCCCCCCCTCCCCTCCATTTCCAAAAAAAAGGGAGTATGTGTAGTAGCAGTATAATCATTTTCACCTTCGAAGCGGCGATCAAGAAAACGAAAACGCTGACCATTGAGCACAGCACCGGCAACATGATAGAAATGACTTCAGCAACTTGGCACAAATTGGCGTCTTTCCCAGGGGCTCGTTTCGTGACTATCTGCACCATGTTTGAGGTCCAAATCACTCCAACGATCAGGGAAATGGCAATCATGACCGTGCGAATACCACTAAACACACTGAATTTGAACGCAGCTGGTTGGCGCTTGTGATCCCAGAAATACGGAAAAACTCCCATGTAGAATCCCAAGAACCAAAGAGGTCTCTGAGCATGAAGCAAAGAATGTTCGAAAGGTAGATTCTCCATGTTGTCGAGATTTGGTTCGAATTCGACGACAGAGTCATTTCGTTCAATTGCGCAATTTTTTGCGGGCATTTTATTTTGCAGATGATGGCGGGCTCTACGAACTCACGGATCAGGCGTAACTGACTAAATGAACCCTATAGTAAAACACGTTCTCTATGTGGAAAGAGCAAACATCACGTTCACGATAGTTGTACCCAATTGTATATGAAGGGGATCAATTTATGCCTCCTTTCTGAAGGGGCTCCATGACGTAGTTCCGCCATATGTAAACAAATAAAACTGAAGGCTATTCCAAAATGCAATTTGAGAAAGAATGAACCAACAACGAGACCTCATACTGTGTGAAAAGGGATATCATCATTAAAGTAAAATTATATGGTCAAGGTCGTCAATAGGGTGTGGTGCTCCAAGAATGCATCAAAAAAATTATAACGCGCAGTAGATCAATATTTAACTGACTCATGCAGTTGCAAGAAAGGAATACTCTTCCACAGGCATCCCAGAGGTTCTTTGAGAAACAACTGGAAACTGCAATTGAAGCGAAAATGAAACAAATTCTCAATTTTAGCATGAGACGGAGGAACTGTCATCAGTTTGTACGAGATATACAAGAGTTGGAAGATTTACTGTTGACGAAAAAGGGATTTCTCGGGATCTGATGGTCACCCTGCTTTAACAAAATAAAATCTGTGAAGGTTCTTTTAACCCGCCAAATTTATCACGTTAGCATTTCGACAAATTGCGATTAAGGCGACGGCATCACTCGGGGGAATTTTACCTATGCAACATGAAAAAAATGCATTCATTTTGAATCGCGATTAAGGCTGAATAGGTTATTCAAAATCAAAAGGATACAGCTCAAAACAATTTTAAACGGGTAATTGTTATTAGAAGTATAAAGCACTGGAACATTTAATGCAGGATAGTGCTCATTGCATCTCTGTAGAAAAATGGGGAACGGAATGAGATATCACATCAAGTTCCTGTTTATTGCCTTCGTTATTTCAACGATATCCGGGCAAGATGTGAGGAATGATGGCTGCAATCCGGACATGGTCTTCACGGATACAGGAAGTCCAGCTTGTGATGCAAATGATGGTACCTTGGAACTCTTGCAAGTTGTACGACAACTTTTTCCATGCAAATGCACTCCGGAGAGAAAAATGTCTATAAACCCGTCTGTTGAGCAAAATGTTCTTCAATTGCTCTATTTTGCAGGTATTTCGACATGGAGACCGCACTCCGATTCAATTTTACCCCACTGACCCTTGGAGACACGGGTATAATTGGCCTCGCGGACTCGGTCAACTCACACCGGTGATCCTTTTTTCGCGGCAACCATTTTGAACTTATTAATTGTTTTCAAAAGTATTCCGATCACTAGCGATTTATACAATGTATCAATTGGAGAAACCAGTGGTCATCAAGATATTTTATTACAGTATATGGTCTTATAAGCGTTCATATATACAAAAAAAAGGCTGGAATCAATTTTCAAATTTGACTGGTTCTCTAAAAGCGAGAATTGTTTTCCCAGTGCAGATACTAAAATTCATTTTTCGTCAGTCGATTAAAAAATTCTGAGAGAATCGAGAAACAATTTCCAATGACAAATTGTGTTTTAAGTGGCTTCAATTTTTTCAGTAGAAATTCTCGGTCACGAGTCTCACGACTATACTCATGACTTTCTTAAACGCGTAAATAAAAAATTCAAACTTTACGCAAAATTCAAAGAAATACTCGTGAGGATTGGAGAATATTCAGTGAAAGTTCCAAAAAAAAATCTGCGTTTTTCTTACGCTCCTCTTCGTCTACAGTGTATTGATATTGACTGCAACTGGAATACTTTCTGGCTGTCACTCATTTTTCATTGAATTTCGTATAGGACTAGTTGACGAATCAACAGAACATATTTGAAAATCCACCCCAATCTTCATTATTTTCTAATGATGCAATGTTTGTTTTCGCTTGAATCGATTGAGTTATATCTTTATTCATGTGCCGCTTTTGAAAAATTTACTGCTTCATTTGCAAAGAACGAGGGAATATCCCAAGAACTATTTTTCAGGACGGTAAACGGAGGTTGGTTTGCCTTGGGAATTGGGTTCAGACCTCATACGAACGTTTCCTGTGTGGCGGGTATAATTCAACACTGTATCCGGTGCGCAGCACAAACACAGACAGAACCATGCAAAGTGCAGAATTGTTCATGATGGGAACATTTCCTCCATTGGGAGGCATTTCGGAGGACATGATGGACCGGGTTCCACTGAACCTGTATGACATTAAACGAGTTCCTTGTGACAAGGATACGGTATGATTTTGTCCAAAAAAGGGTTTGGTAATTTCAATTAACGTGACTATATAAGGCCTTGATCCATCAAAGGAGAAAGTTCATTACGGGATTTTAAAAATGCATTACCTTAGCAATGTCCTGAAACTGTGAAAAGAATTATACGTTATCTGTAGTCTTCGTAAATTTGATCTCTCAAATGAATCATTAATTCAAGAAATGTGTCAAGCCTAATATACTGTGTCTGTGTCATTTGTTCTGATATTATCTGTCATGACGGTATAATAACACATACTTAACTCTTACGGCAGAAAATTTCCCGAAAATGATGAATAGCCCCAAGAAGGCGATCAGTCATCGGAACCTGTTTTGCAATTTTTTTTCATAAAGAGAAAGTAACGCGAATCGATTGAGTGACAAAACCTTTTTATGCGGTCCACATTATCCGAAGTTTGGTTCACTTTATGCAATTAAAAAGTATGGGCAGCTTGAATATTTTTATTCATGTCAAACAGTATTGTGCAGTTCCCAAGACCCTGTGTTCACTAAAAATTAGTGATACGGAATTTTATTTGGATTCGACCAGTCATTCGTGGTTCTTAGATTTACGGTGTTTTTGTTAAGGCTTCTAATCAAAAACACATCTGACCAATGCACCAGCAGAGATCTTCGAGATAATTTTCTGATGTGCGATTTCCTTCCACTGATGAAAGAGCGATCAGCTAAATTCGTTGACTTTTGCAATGAATTCAATTGTCTTTTTAGAACTTGGAGCGATCCCTAAATTTATTTTTCCGCTTAGCTTTTGCGACGTGATACATTTTGCCCGGCGGCGAGAACAGAAGAGTTTCGAGTGAGGAAAAACAACAGGCGGCTAAAAATGTTGGCTGCTGAAAACGCTGATGCACATAAATGCATTTTGGCCAATTCTGGACTACCGCCATCTATGGACTTATTTCAAATGTCCACTCTACTTTATGATCTGCTCACGGTTGAGGTCAGTGACCATAAAATTATATGAGGAATTTCTAAAAATTGATTACCGAAGACGAAGAGGATTGTTTGGTGACAAATGACAAATATTCAAAGAAAACTGCACACTATATTAATTAATGTATTCCATTCTCGGTGTTTTGAGGAATAATCTATACGGACACGATCCAGACAATTTTATTTCAATCAAGCAGTTGAGCCTTTGTACTATTCTTGTCATTGTACGGACGCACTTTCATTTATTAAGTTGGTCTATCATTTCCTTCCTCGTCTGTCGTTCATTATAATTGTGAAAGAGATCATATGAATATATTTAACGTTGCTATTGTGACCATAACTTTGCGAATAATTTCTTACAATATTCTTGTCTTTTAATCACGTACGTAACACCTGTAATATACGGTAAGTAGGGTATTTAAGTTGACGAAAAGGCACAGCAACTATGGTAAAATATGTTTTATTGCCGACATTATAAAGATGGAAAACATGCCTTCTACTTGCGCATCTATAATGATTAAATTATAGGTCAAATCGCGAAAGATTGTAGTCCAGTCAGACAGAACCTCTGAATTTTTTGGAACGGGGTGATTGTTAAGAAATTAATGGCAGCATAGTGGCAGCAAATTAATGGCAGCATGATCTTCTATATAAGGCTCTGGAATTTTTTCGATTTTTACGAAGTTGTTCAATTTAATGAAAGATGATGAGAGGAAACTTTCCTGCTGCTCCCGGAGTTCTCCTATCAAATCACAGGGTGTTGAAAATATACCTAGCGAGCGAAAAATTTGATTTTCCATGTTTAATCAGATATCTTTTTACCATTCTGTAACTGTGAAGTTCTCACTTACGATCATGCAGTAAACTGAAAACCCCCACAACCCATTGAAAATCATGGGTTTTGTCATTTTTTGTTTGTTTTACAATCACAGCTACTCTGAAGTCTGAACTGAGACAACCCACGGATTGTCGTATTGTTTTTTTTCAGCGTCAACACAACATGTGTCTTCCTGAGTGGACTCGAAGCATATACCCGAAACCTGTTCAGCACTTGGCCGGCATCGACATGTTCATGACGACCTATTCCCCTCTTTTGACTCGGCTTCGCGTTGGTAAACCCGATCAGCAATTTCTTGAAACCAACGTCCAAGAAATTGTGATTGCTCAATTTGAATTGAATCTCTTCAAGAAAAGGTGTGCTGGTGAATGAGATTATCAGCAACATGCTCAATAAGGTCGGATTTCCATCGATAAAGAAGACAGACTTCGCGAGACAGCGAAAAATGTTGGTTTATTCAGGCCACGATTCGACTGTTAGTGGGCTTTTGGGTGCCTTTGGGTATTCCAGATCGCACTTTCCTGAACCCGCCGCAGGGGTTTTCATTGAGTTGAGGAAGAAATGGGACGGCACGAAAACCCCGTATTATGTCAAGGTGGGTATTGAAATACATGTGCAGTATATTGCTGTACAGTACTTAACAATTCGGAAGTGATTCGCCTCACATAGCGGTTACGCAATGGGCCAATCGTTCGATGATGGCATTCAAGTCAACTGAGAACTGCTGATGCACTATTTTGAAATTTCTCCGTCAAAGCAGTCTTTTTTTAAATGTTCGAATTGATCTTCAAAGACATGATCGTTGACAGCCATTTGTAATCTGTCACCATGGGATCTTTTGTTAACATACTCTGAAACCCGGTAGGGTTTGACTTACACGTTTTAAGTCGAGTGAAACCCTTTTTTGCTGTACGTATGAAAGGATTCCTCATTGGGTAAAATGTGGTTCAAATTTCCCTCGTTGATTTTAGACTTTGAATCACAGGAGACCAGAATTCGAATCACCGATTTCTGGAAGAAATAAGTTTGATCAAGTTTGATGACAGCAGAAGGTAACATTGATTAATATCATGATTTTTCGCCATTCAATAAGACCTTCATGTCGGTGGTTCATTCTAAAATTTTCTGAATCCTGAAATTCTTTAATAGAAGAATGAAAGTCAATAATGGGATAAGATGTTTTACTAGTGCTTTTATTAAACGCGGTTTAATGAGGCGGAGTACAATCTAAAAATGAATACTGTATATAACGAAGCCTCCATATAGAGACCATGACATATTCACCGCGTATTTTTGAAATTAATGCTTGATACAGTACATGTTTTCGCTGAACACTGAAAAGTAACATGGGTTGCATTTGTCATGATTAACCCGAAATGAACCAATGGAAAAAGTAGCCATTAATATATTAAAATGTCTGCTGAGGCATACTCTTAACCGATTTCGAAAAAGAAAAGATCACAGCCCTCTGGTGTGTAGATAGTATCACACACTTTTCCGCATATTTTTGCAATATTATTAATATATTTTACCTCGGACTTGGAACCAGAGAATACCAGAAAGCAGTTCGAGAAGTCCCGTCTAACTTTTGAACATTGACTATATACACGATTACAACTTTGAATGCTTTATTGAAGTTGTCCCTTTTCCTTCCTTTAAAGGTCTACTACAAACGTGGTTCTCTCGTGGAAACCCTCAAAATACCTGGATGCAAATGCATGTGCAAGCTGACAGATGCGAATGCCCTTCTCAAACCTATACAGCTCACCGAAAAAATGCTGAAATCTGAATGCGAGGAGTGTGGAGATGACGCGGAATGCTTGAAGGCGAAAGAATCCCAAAAATAGCATAAGTCAACGTTCAAAGCCTGCTGATTTGATGCCAATGCAAATCTCACTGACAATGTGTTGTTCTTCAGTTACCGTATTTTTTATTGTTTGAAAGACGGAAGTAAAATTTTTCGACGTAAGTGTTCGTAATGTATTTCGAAGTTTTATCCAGGCTGCACTTCGGAAAATGAATCGAAATAAGTAGCAGATCTCTTAGTAGCCCTGTAACCAGTAGATTAAATTGGCATTTCCCCCTTTTTTCAATGTCCCGTTCTTAAAATTATTGGATCAATTCATTCAAGTACTTTCAGTGATCAATTGGCACGGTAGTCATAGAAAATCTGTCAGTAATTTACAATGTTTGCAAGGTCTTTGAACAATTGAAAAAGAGAGAGGGGTTCTATAGGCAAATAACCCTTCTGAAACAAAATCCGTGGGAAGATCGTGGGTACTTGCCGTTACAGCAAAAAATATAACAGCAGGAAAGAATTATACTTCATCATCGCTTCTCGTAGTTTTCAATTTTTCAAGTTATTTGGTAATGCAGTACAGCAAGGGGGAGAGAAAAGTGAATAGCAATCGCTCATGTGATTATAGGGCTTTTATTGGGCGGGATTTCGCGTTGATTGCCTGGCTCGTTCCCAAACGAGCAAACATTCGTGGGAGCCCAGTTGCGAATTGGGCAATCAAGTCGTTACAGGTGGGGTCCTCAAACTTTTGGCGCCTATTTTACAATGCACACGAAACAGTAATTAAGGGCAATTTTCGCTCATGTGCACATGTAGGGGTCCCGTAGGGTTAATTACAACTGATAACCACTGTTGAATGATTTGCTAATGCATTTCCAACATCAAAAGACACTATAAGGAAGCGTACACAATCACATCTCTGCTAAACTTGAAGGCGATATTTACCGATTATTACCGGAGTGATATGAATGCAAAGCTGTTTTTTTTTTCAGAAACTCTTTGTTTCGGTTTTCTGAAGGCAGGTAATTGCAGGTAATTTAAACATCATCTACGAAAATTTGGCCAGGCGCAAATGTGCAGTACACTCATTATTTTATTGACGCATTCTTCAATTCGAAGCGATCGGGGAAAGCAGCGTCACGACGAGCCAGCGTCGGAGATTTGAACGCCAGTTGAGAATATATTGTGGGTTTTCTTGGTGGCCCTTTAGTAGTTGGAATGGAATGAGAATCAAATTCCCGAATTAATCTGAAACCTCGCCTTATCTGAGATCTTAGGACAAACCGCAATCGGCGAACATCCACAATCATCCATTGTGAAAAAATACACTGGAATACACCGCCGTCATTTTTTGACGATGCTACTTGGTGGCGTGGCATACCCATTTCTGTAATCGGATGGGTAAAGGTATTCACTGCCCTATAAAAATTGGGGTCTTGGTTTAAGAAATAGAACCAATCTTATTGAACTAAGTTAATCAACAAAATGCGGTATTCTTTTCAGCCAAATCACATTTTTACTTTTGAAATAATTCCAATTGGATTCAGAACCTTGGAAGTGTTCATAAAACTCGTAACTGTGTATCCAGAACACTTCACTTGGCCTAAAATCCAAGAACTTTTGAAGAATATCAGACGAGCTCCTCAAGGTGCAACAGAATCTTGAACATTTTTAATTTCAAGATATGTACTTCTTGAACATTTTTAATTTCAAGATATGTACTCTGCGAAAACTCCTTTTTACGACGCTAAAAATTTTACCACTCTTTTAAAGCTCTTAACAGACTACTATAACACAAAATAAAAAAGACTCCAAGAGCTCTTAAAAAGGTATTAATTCTGCGACATATTTACCTTTAAAAAAACTTTTTGGTTACAGCCAGAGTTTTCCACTCATTTGACAGCATGCTTAAAATTTGACCCATAGATTCAAAAAAAGAAATCTTTTCGTTGCTTCGGCTTTGATGTTCTCTATCATTTTTGGTCATAATGTTAAGTTTAATGAGTTATTCGGTCGATCAGTGCATAAGTCTCAAATTTCGATTATTTCATTCTACAACGTAGAGCCCTATGAAAAACTCATTAAATTTATTTGAAAGTGCGATGAAAAGAAACACTCGGTGTATTCGCAGAAACGCGTTCGAGTTTTCCAAGCCGTCACGAAAAAAAAAACGACTCCAAACTCTCGGGAGCGGACCTAAGCCGCCAAACACGCACGACGCATTGTTCTCTTCGAAAACCAAAGCTCATAGAATAAGCGACCACGTGAACTAAAAACAACGCTATTTTCGGCAGCCGCTTCCGCCCTGCTGCGTGGTCATCATATTCCCGTTTCACACCTGCGAACAAAGGCGCTATTACTCGTTCCGCCGGCGCGGAGCTTTCTCATCAAGGCAATTAGCGACCACGCACGTACGGGGGGCTATTCCGAAGTTCCGCATGTACATCTTTGCCAAAGCTCCAAAAGCAATGGGGGCGAGGTTGGCTTTTTTCCTTCCTCCGCGAGTGTACTACTACAGTATACGAGTATGTATGAGCATGAAAGATATGAAGTTATATCTCTATTCATGGACCAGCGCTTCCGAACGTTAATGTATGCAACGCATCTTATTAATTAAGAGTCATTTACGGCGAATGACCGGCATAGAGAGATGTTCTGAAAGAAATTACATGTTTTTTTCCTCATTGCGACGTACATTGAGGTACAGATTCGCGAAAAAATAATCACGTGTTTAACATGCCAATAGAGATTCGAGAATTGCACGTTTTTTGCGCAGGATACGCACGATGTGTAATTATTATTGTGGATGAGTAAAACATGTACGCGCGTATTTTAAGTGATTCAAAGCCGATAATTTTTAAATTACATCGGAGAGCTTCATTTTGAGTCCGGCAACAGGAAATGACACCAGTAGTACGGGTATAATTTCTTCCTTTGATATTTATTTATCGTTTTCCAATGCAGCATTTGTAGGAATCACAAATAAAGTATTATTTCATTGCGAGATATTGACATTGTTCCTTTATTTTCCTGACTGACATGTGGAAAAACTTTTGTCATTAGTATTGAAATATATGACTAAAGGTTTTATTAGCGTAAAATGGTTTAGGAATGATCATCTTTCGATGCCTGCATACAGGGGTGGTCTTACTGTGTATACATCCGCCGCGATCAGTTCGAAAGATCGGAAAAATTACCTTGAGTCAGTTTCACTATCCATTCATTCTAAAGACTGGTTTTAGAACGATGCTGGTGTTTGTGCGTTTGATGAAGCCCGCTGTGCGTGTTTGAAATGCACTTGAAAATGTTTTGGCCAAAAAAATCATTTTATGAGGATGTAAAAGCTGTGATCCTGTTCCAAAAAATCATCCCAGCGCTCTTGTGTTGAACATGATTTATTCTTCCTAAATACCCTCTGCAAGGGGTATCCCTGCGCAAGCTGTTGCTCCCGCAAGGTTCAGATGGGTTCTGAGGATGGGGGATCCTGGTTGCTATGTATGGGTCAGTATTTGCAGTGAAGAGAATTAAGTTAGATTAGTAGTAACGTTCCCCGGGCTAATGGTGCCCTTGCCTGGGGGTTTGTTTATTCTTCAGGCCTGAATTTTGTCCTTGGATGCAGAATCAGTTGCGAATGTTTTTCAATTTGTCTTCTCATCAGAGGGAACTGCAAAAACTTTAGTAAAGCTGCTCTGCTTTGAAATACTGTAATCAAGGTGAGCGCTTCTGTTTTATACCCCAAAAATATGTTTGAGTCAAATCAGAGTTCGCTGTTATCTGGGCATCTTTTTTCGATGACTGCCTCCTATTTTATACTCGAAATTCCCCTCTAATATTTTTGATGTTTTCCCAGTATTTCTATGAATACGGAATAAACACTCCTGCATTCTACCATAAAGCAGAGGATCTCAAACTTCATGGGTGTGACTTCACTTCAATTTATTCTGCTGTTTCGGCTAGACAGAATATCGTAGAATTCGCCTATTTCCTTTTGCTCTATCCTCGCAAAGTTCATGGACTTTGGAATTTTTAATGTCTTTGTTGTGTTCCATCGATTTATTCCTATAGTCCACAAGTTATATTGCTGAAACCGGAGGACGGCCTCAGATCCCATTTGCTACCGGTGATGGTCCACAGAGCTATCCTAAGAACTGAGGTTATTGATGGAACTTTTGAGAAACTCCGATACTTTGAAAGTTTCTTTACATAACAACTTTAAAAAATCGTGTTACATTCCCTGGATTAGTTCAAGCATACGCCGGGTACTCGGCCCGACTTCATTTTCAACTGGTGTTCTTATTCCACACTCAATTACTTGCGGTATATGATTTCCCGACTATTTCAAACTATGATCGATAAGTGTTCGCATGAAAAGAAACATTGATTTTGTGCAGTGCTATGAGTATAATTAAGTTCTTTGTTGTTGTTTCTGTTCGATTTCAGCTTTTGCTTCATGGCATTTTCGACAGTTTACAGTTCCAATGATCATACCCCGGTCATTTAGTCTCGTTCTGCGACTGCTTCACACAGAAACCACTTGAAGTGTTTCAACTTTATTATTATTCGTTTATTTTTCGATTGCAGACGTGAGATCGAAACGCATACCGTTATTCCCATGCAATTTCTTCCTCATGTCAATGAATGTCGAAACTTCGGAGCACAACCCAAAACGATCGGGTGCCCCATCGAATAGGTTTCGTGCGTGATGCTCTGGGCGGTCGGGCGATAATTGCGGAGTTTCTACACCGGGTTCCAAGACCGCGGTGGCGAATATCCGCACCACTCTTCAGGTCATTTATCGCTCGATCCCCAAGTGTCAGAAAACGTCTTGTCATACGCACCTTGAGCATCTTCCTTCGAAGCCTATATATAAGCAATGAAGCCTTTGAAAATTATTTTTCCGAGGCTTTCCGTGTATCGTAATTCGAAACCTGATCCGCGGAAACAGGTACGAATTTAATTACCGTGTTTACTGAAGTACCACGCGCTCTGGACTGGAGTAAAACATGCACATTACTTTTCAGTCCCACGAATCATATAATATTTTGGGAAGTAAATCGGGTGAAAAATCTAAATACGAGCCCACTTGAAAACTGAGTCAATGTTGATGTTTTCTTCATTCAAAACGAGGAATCCCTTCAAGAAAATTTTGAGAATATTTTGAAGTAAAGGAA